CCACGTGACAAGTTCCTAATCCATTAAAATATATGCCTTGAATCCCTATATAATTTCATAATAAGCATATTTTCCTAATTCTTTTTTCACCAATAATATTTTTCTAATTTTACCCTATAGTTATATTAATTGTTTTTCAGTTTAAGTGGAGAATTGTAATTAGAGGAAAAAATAACTATTAGTCGATATTAATATTTTCTATGTCCATAATGAGGTAGCAAGGAAATTAATGAGGGTGAAATAGTTCTATCTAGGTTACATTTTTTCTCTTAATCTCGACCGAGAGATTTTATAACAATTTTCAGTGTTGATACCAAGCTTAGGGATATGATGAATACTCATAGGTTATCAAACTATGTGGATACGATCATGTGGTGATGAATTTAATACTGGTAGATCATATAAGTTTGTCAAAAGTTATGTAATAATTAGTCTTGACTATTCGAGAGGTGTTGGATATTTGAAGTTTTTTCTCTCGAGACATTTTCTTCATGTATTTCAAAGTTTTCGAGGTTCTTTCTTCATAGATTTTCTTTTGAGATCTTATGTATAAAAAGATCATTTCTATATAGACTTTAAAGCGTGAAAATAGACAACTAAGAGTATTTGATTGATATACAATTGTAACACCCACAACCCGTATAATTATACATATACAGATTATATTTCCATATTAATATATTTTAATAGTTTGTGATAAATTGATATGATATGATATTTTTATAATATCATTTACCATTTTTAAAGGAAATAAATTTTAAATCACTTTCGAAATTAAATGGTTTTAGAAAATCGGGTGACATCTATAATCTGTATAGGTATAATTATACTGGTTATGGGTGTTACATTTATTGGTATCAGAGCTACAGGTTTAACCGATTCTAGGACTAAACCGAGTTTGTTTTGAGTTAAAAAGTGTATACATGCCACTAGGATGTCAAAAGTGACTGATAGTTGTATATATACTGTGATGATGCTTATTGAGAGTAAAATTACTCTTTACTAATGTATGATAAATCTGACTACGTTCAGATGTTGGAATTAAAGAGAAATGTAGGAAAGTTGAAAATGTTGAAAAGAAGGTCGAGATTGAAATCGACCCAAGAGAATATGACATGACTTCAGTATCACGCCTTAAAAGGGTGAGTGTTGTTAGGGATTGTTCTCCATATTGGGGAAAAATTGCCCCATCTTTCAACGAAGTTTCTGAACTGGAAAATTCGATTAAAAAGTTTGAACGACTTACAAGAAAAGTCGAATCGGATGAGGATCCAGAAGAGATTTATGAATCTAGTGATGATTCTGAGCTTCCTCCAGGCAAGCTTAAATAAGTGAAAAATATTTAAGCTAAGCATTAAATTGTTTAAAGCATTGTTGATTTGAGTAAGAGGAAATAAATAAGCGGAAAATATGATTTCCGCTAAAAGTTTAAAGACAGTTGAGTTATTAGTGAATCAAATGATTATGAGTTTGATTTAGAATAGATATCAAGTCCATAAAACTTGATAGAGTTACCTTGTGAAGGTAAATTTATGAAAATGGATTGTCTAATCATCCATGCTGAAATGAATTATTATTTAAATTGAGATTGATTCTCAAGAACTTGAAAAGTGTCAAGTTCACAGTGAAAGGAAAAATAGTAAATTTGTTTGATAGTGTGATTTTAGCATTAACTGCTATGGAGTTATTGCTACAAATTTATCAAGTTTTCTTATTGAACGATGTTATGGGATTATCATTAATGAGTTTAAGATCATTTTGATCATGAGTTGGTTGTCTCTGTATTAAGGTTGGGTTAATGGTCGCAAGAAGCGATTAATTTAGAAAGATGCGGAGATATTAAAAATTAGTGATTAACGAAAAAGTAAAATCATCACTAATGTGATATCAACAATGGTTATGATTAAGATGATGTAAAAAGGATGCATAGCTTTTGTGGCTAAGGTGATAGATACTCAAGTATCTGAAGTAAGATCATATGATATTTCCATAACTTGGGAATTTTCATATGTCTTTTTATATTTACTATTATGGGTTACCTCCAGATTGAGAGGGGGAATTCAATATTAATAGTTATCAAGGCATTAATCATGTATCTATGGGTTCATATTGAATGGTTGCAATTGAGTTAAGAGAATAAAGAACCAATTGCAAGAACTGCTAGATTAAGGATGCATTAGACCGAGTATTTCACCTTGGGGTAAACCGGTATTGTTTATAAAAAATGGATATATGCGATTATGCATAGATTATCGATAGTTAAACAAAGTAACTATCAAGAACAAGTATCATCTTCCGAGGATTGATGACTTGTTTGATTAGCTTTAAGAAGATGTTCTAAAGATAATTTTTAGAACACAATATAGACACTATGAGTTCGTAGTAATGCCGTTTGGTTTAAAAAATGCTCTGGCAATATTCATAGATTTGATGAATCGAGTATTTTAAATTTTACTTGGATTAATCTAAGGTGGTCTGTATTGATAACATTATGGTATACTCGAAGACAAAGATAGAGCATGATGATTATCTTTGTATTGTGCTTGAAATACTTAAGGATAAAAAGTTATATGTTAAACTGTCAAAGTGTAAGTTTTGGCTATCAGAAGTTGATTTTTTTAGTCATGTTGTCTCGGCATATGACATAAGAGCTAAAAAATATATTATAAAAAAAAAGAGGAAAATGAAGAAGAAAACAAAATAGAAAAAGAAAAGAAGAAAAAAATAAACAAAATAAAAACAATGAGAGATGATTAAAAAAATATTTCACTTGTGAAAAAAAAAATGCGAGACCAAAGACTTTGAAATCAAGTCTGATGAATGTTTGTATTACCGAGGATGAATTTGTATTCCTCATGATGATGAGTTAAAGAAATATATTCTTTCCGAGGCACATTATAGTCTACTGACTATGCATACAAGTGGGAATAAAATGTATCAGGATGTAAAAAGTCATTTTTGTGGTCAGGTATGAAAAGAAACATTATTGAGTTTGTTGTTATATGTTTGACATGTCAACAAGTAAAAGCTGAGCATAAAGTGCATTCGGGATTGTTGTAACTGATTTCTATTCCGGAGTGGAAGTGGTAAAAAGTCACCATAGATTTTGTTACTGGACTACCTTTGACATCAAATAAAAAGGATTCCATTTGGGTGATAGTGACCGGTTAACTAAATCGGCACATTTCATTCCGATGTGAATGGACTATGCATTGGATAAATATGCAGTGTTATATATCAAAGAGATAGTTTGGCTACATAGAGAGCCAATATCCATCATATTGGACATGGATCAAAGATTCACTTTAAGACTTTGGAAATATTTGCATAAAGTTTTGGATACTTTATTGAATTTTAGTACGACCTTTCATCCACAGACGGATGGTAAGAAAAAATATATTATTCATAAATTAGAAGATATGCTGAGTACATGTGTGATTGATTCCAAGGAATAATGGGGAAAAAAGTATTTGATTTTAGTGGATTTTCCTGCAATAACAGTTATCAATTGAGTAACAAGATGGCTCAGTATGAAACTTTATATGGAAGAAAATGTCGAACACCATTAAATTGGATTGAGTTAAAAGATCGGAATCTTGTTGGCCCAGATTTATTGAAAGAGATTGAGGATAATGTAAAGATAATTCAAGATAATCTTAAGATGGAATTTTGTGTTTTGGGCACAAATGAAAAACTAAGTCTAAGATTCATTGGACCTTATGAGATATTAAAAAGAGTTAGACTGATGGCTTATCAGTTAATATTAACTCTGGAGGTAATTGAGATCTAGAGTTGAACAAAGTTCATAATGTTTTTCATGTGTCGATGCTTAGAAAATATCGATTGGATCTTTCACATGTCATTGCATCAGAGGAAATTGAGATCCGACCAGATTTGATTTATGAAGAAGAATCAATACGGATCTTGGTTCAATAAATCAAAGAACTGCGTAACAAGACGATTCCTCTAGTTAAAGTGATTTAGTAAAATCATAATATCGAGGATGTTACTTGTGAAAGAGAGGATGATATGAAGAAATAATATCCACACCTTTTCATATCAGGTTGAAGATCTGGATTAAACAGGTTTAAAATCTAATGATTAGCCTAATCTTCACAAAATCCCCAAATTAAGTAGGAAAAATCGAAATTTATGAAGTTGACAAGACCAAAAGAGGTTTTCACATAAGGCGTGAGCACATCATACCAGTCCGTAAAACCCTAAATTAAGGTTATAAATTTACAAGGGAAAAAGAGAGTTAGTGTTTTCATAGAAAGTTTTAAAATTCGAGGACGAATTTTCTTAAGGAGGGGAGAAAATATAAATGTAACACCCATAACCCGTATAATTATACCTATAAATATTATAGATGTCACCCGATTTTCTAAAACCATTTAATTTAGAAAGTGATTCAAAATTTATTTCCTTTAAAAATGGTAAATGATATTATAAAAATATCATATCATATCAATTTATCACATACTATTTAAAATATATATTAATATGGATTTATTCTATCCATATTGAATCAGAGTAAAGCAGTTTAGTTAAACTGTTACAAACCATTTGAAAAATAATTTGACAAAGCAACTAAGACATTAATAATTACATGCCACTAACAAAGTCAAAATTTCATCATAGGATATCTTACTGATATTGTAGTGTATTCTTGGATGCTCGGAGTGCCTCGTACACTTTACTTTATTCTTGGCTTTTTACCTACGCGTAAAAATCATCACACACTAAGTATATACTTAGTGTGGCAATTAAAAACAATAAACAGTGCAATATAACTCATGCATGAATTTCAATGTCATAAACAAATGCCATAAGATCATGTTACATGCATATCCAATATTTTACCATAATCAACATAATATAAAATTTCTTACCATTTTTCCTATAAGCTCGTAAGCTTATTTTACCAATATACTTACCATTTAATCACATAAGCTCGTAAGCTTATTTTACCTATATACTTTCTATTATTCCATAAGCTCGTAATCTTATTTGCATGGTTATCATTTATTAACCAATAAACCATAACCCAAAGTATAACTGTATGAGGAACCCAATATAGGAGTCAAATATTGCACCGTAGTGTTGAGGTCGAGCTTTGCTCACCTAATAATGCAACGTAGTGCTGAGGTCGAGCTTTACCCACCTGGTACACCATAGTGTTTTGTATCGTGTCTTCACTAGACACTTTAAGGCCTACACTATGTGCCTTCTCTAGACACTCTAGTGCTACATAATATGCAGCTGCTAGACTCTATGGCATGCCATTAATACCACTGATCCTCAATAACATACTTGGGCATATAGTAAATTTTATTTGATCCATCCATGGTAAAGTATATTATAAGTATTTAACATTGGGCAGTTCATACCCGAAATAATATTTATGGTAAAATATCATGCATTATCAATGTCATGTCAATTTATAAAAATGACATAATATCATAATTTAACATTGGGCAATTCATACCCAAAAACATTCATGGTAAAATATCATATTTTCCATGATCAATGCATTATAATTTTATACTGCGACATATCAATGTCATGTAAATTTATAAAAATATGACATAATATCACGCTGATATAAACAAGGTCGACTTATCGCAAGTCTTCCTGATGATATATAAAACATCCATATATAATGTCATGGATGTATTGCACTCACCTTGACACTTTATATATCCAATATATGTGCCTCATTATGATCCACAATAAACACTTTTTATACTTGACTTGCTTCAATCACAAATCAATCACGATTTGTATAAATCACAATATCATAATGATACATATGTTAGTATTTTACTAACATAAACATATCTCATAACAACTCCATAATATACTTGAAACACATTTTCTATCAAAACACTTAACACTTAATAATTCCTTTTAACATTGAAACCAACTTTTCCAATTTACTCAAAATGGTACTTCACCATTTTATCACTTAAATTCTTAATATAAAAAATTCCAGCATTGAATTTATCACTATTCAAATGCTTTTACAAAAGTATAAATACGTTTAAGTACCCTACTTATGCAAATGTTGTACTTAAATCACTAATCTTTTCAAACTTCCAAAATAGTCATATTTCACATCTAAACACTCATTTCAATTCCAAAACAACAATTTCCAGTATAATACATCAACTATTAGACAATTATACAACCATTCCCAAATTTTTCCAAAATTATGAATTGGTTCCTCAACTTGTTGAAAATTACAAAATGATCCCCAAAATTTCTAAGGCTTGTAAAATACTTTCTATATCATTTCCAGACCTTATATAATTTTTCTATAAATTTTCTCATCCTTTAAGACCAAAGCCTAATGGTTTAAAGATCAAAAACTAGGTTTTCTATGATTTTGCTCGATTTTGATTCAATTCAAGCATGAAATCAACTTTCAATCAACCTTATTACATCTCTACAATCAAATCCCTTATCAATTCTCATCAGAACATAAAGTTCTCCAACTTAATAGTTGGCCTAATTTTATAGAATTAATTCTAGGAAGATTGAACATGTTATAACCATCAATCAAGCTTGAAAATGAATCTACAATCTCTAAATCATAAAGATTAATCATCAATTTCATGATCCCTTATATGAACACAAACTGAAAAATTTGGCATCTTTGAAATCCAGCAAGATTATAAAGCAATATTGGTTAAAATGATAGCATTTTTCGCGTATATCACTTTCCTATTTCACGACATAACCCCAATTCCAAAGGAATTAGCTCAAAAATTGAAAATAAAATATTTTTTTTACCTTGAAAGCTTTCTCACTTGAATATGCTGGAGAAAATTAACATTGGCATGATATTTTTTATTGATATCATGCTTATCATCCTTTAAAAATATTATTTAAATCATTAACTTGAGAAAATACCAATATACCCTTAATATAACTTCATAATTACCATAAAACCTATATATTTATCCTTATCATCATCAAAATCAGATAAATATCAGCCTTATCATCTTTTAATAGTTAAAGAAGAACAAATTAGTTTTTCACTTTACCGTTTTGCCCTTGTAATTTCCAAAAATTACAATTCAGTCACCTTAATCCAACTGTTTAAATTAAACATGGAATTAAACCATTAAATATTATTTTCTAACATTTTAAAAATGTGAAAATAATATTTTTATTTACTTATTTTCGTGGGCCATATGTAACTTTTTAAATTTAAATTTTGGTCCTTAAACTTTCCAAAGTTTATACTTTGATCACCAAACTTTACCAAATTTATAATTTGGTCACTAAATAAATCCATTTATGAAATAAAATTCTTTTTGGGAAAATCACCACTTAATTCCTTAAATTTCCCCAAAATTTTCTACTTTAACCATCAAACTTTCAAATTTTGTATTTTGGTCATTATCTAAATATTTTGGGTATTACAACAACATTTATCACATATTTTTAAAATATAATCCTTGAAAATACATATTTCTACAAATAATTAAAAATTTATTATTATTTTATGAATAGTCTATAGTGATTATAATATAATATTTGTTTAATTTTTTTTAATTATAGATAACGTTAATATATCTTATAAATATAACTGCTAAACATATGATTTTTAAGGAGAATAATAATTCTCTTAACATTATTATATTCTTATTTCTGTAACTATTTTCAATTAATTTATGTAATAATTGATAATAGAGTCCTTTGTATTTGTATACTAATATATTTCATAGAGCAGGCAAAGAGGCAAAGATTATAAAGATATAGTAGGGAATCCACATTGCTAACTTGTTCAATAGTAATAGCGCGTTTTAAACACTTTCACAAAGGAGCGTGATCTTGTGAAAGCACCGATTGACTAAAAATGTTAGCTGGCCTTCCGCGGTTACAACACGAATATAATGCGTAAGCCTTATCCCATTTGTTCACGCAAGCCCTTTTTGGTCATTTCAATTGTCAAATTGGGCTATAAATCATGGGCGATCGAAGGTAACAATTCCTATCCCAACATCGGAATCGACCTGAAATTCAAATTCTTCTTCAAGTTTTCAAGGTAATTTAATTTTCTGTTTTTTCTTTGATTGGTTTTGGTTGATTTATTTTCTAGTTTAATTTTGTTCCATGGATTTGAATATTTGATGAACTACGGTTAGGGTTTCTTTTCCCCCTTTTATGTTTTTCTTTTAATTCAATACTTGATTACGTTTTCTTTTTATCAGTTGGTTTTATCATTAATCTATTAGATTTACTTATAATTACTTATGAATTCCTCCTTTTAGAATCTGTAAATCGTTCCGTTAATTTTTAAGAACTTTGGAATTTCTTCTTTTAGTTTTAAGGTTTTATTTTTTGATCACAAATATGGCTTGTTTCTTTTCCCCTTTTATCACGTCAATATGTATTTTTCGTTTCAAATTGATTTAAAAAAATGATTCCATTCCTTCTTTTGCATATACTTTAGGCTTCTATTTTTTTAAAAAGAAGTGTGAATTTGTTTTGAAATAGATTAAAACAATCTTAAAGTTTTAGATTACCTAGGGGTCACGATCCTCCTATATACTTATCAATAGTATATTTTGTTGTGAAAGTTATGGTCTTGTATGGATGTTTTGTAATTTTGTTTTGTTTTCAGTGATCTTATATGAGTTTTATTTTGATTCAAAATAGATGCAAATCTTCGTCAAAACCCTTACTGGCAAGACCATCACCCTTGAGGTGGAAAGCTCCGACACCATTGATAATGTCAAGGCCAAGATCCAGGACAAGGAAGGAATCCCACCAGACCAACAGAGGCTTATCTTTGCTGGAAACAGCTGGAGGATGGCCGTACTCTTGCGGACTACAACATTCAGAAGGAGTCCACGCTCCACTTGGTCCTTCGTTTGAGGGGTGGTATGCAAATCTTTGTTAAGACCCTTACCGGCAAAACCATCACCCTCGAGGTGGAAAGCTCCGACACCATTGATAACGTCAAGGCCAAGATTCAAGACAAGGAAGGGATTCCCCCGGACCAGCAGAGGTTGATATTTGCTGGTAAACAACTCGAGGATGGCCGCACCTTGGCTGACTATAACATCCAGAAGGAATCCACCCTTCACTTGGTGCTCCGTCTCCGTGGTGGTATGCAGATTTTTGTGAAGACACTCACAGGGAAGACCATCACCTTGGAGGTTGAGAGCTCGGACACCATTGACAATGTCAAGGCTAAAATTCAAGATAAGGAAGGTATCCCGCCAGACCAGCAGAGGTTGATTTTTGCCGGTAAACAACTCGAAGATGGCCGCACCTTGGCTGACTACAACATCCAAAAGGAATCCACCCTTCACTTGGTGCTCCGTCTCCGTGGTGGTATGCAGATTTTTGTGAAGACACTCACAGGGAAGACCATCACCTTGGAGGTTGAGAGCTCGGACACCATTGACAATGTCAAGGCTAAGATCCAGGATAAGGAAGGTATCCCCCCAGACCAGCAGAGGTTGATCTTTGCTGGGAAGCAGCTTGAGGATGGCAGGACTCTTGCTGACTACAACATTCAGAAAGAGTCGACCCTTCACTTAGTGCTTCGTCTCCGTGGTGGTATGCAGATTTTTGTGAAGACGCTCACCGGGAAGACCATCACCTTGGAGGTTGAGAGCTCAGACACCATTGATAATGTGAAGGCTAAGATCCAGGATAAGGAAGGGATCCCCCCGGACCAGCAGAGGCTAATCTTTGCAGGGAAGCAGCTCGAGGATGGCAGGACTCTTGCGGACTACAACATCCAGAAGGAATCGACTCTCCACCTAGTCCTCCGCCTTCGTGGTGGTTTCTGAGTGATGGTCATTTGAAGAAGTGTGATTGCTGATTGGGGTCTATAATTATGTTTGTGGTTTTTATGTTTTGTGTGGGCTTGCTGTGATGCACAGCGACTAGATACTAAAATAAATTGCAAGAACTTTAGTTCTTTGCTTATGTTGTAAGGTTTATGATGCCCAGTACTTGGTTATTGAATGAAGTTTCTATTATATTTATATGATTTTATGATTCCTTTGATGCTTGTTATCTTGTTTACTTCTGCAGATTCATTAATTCTCATTTATCTTCGATAATTTTACTCTTAGGTTACCAACGCTAAGATTTTGTTGGACGTGAAATTGAATTTGTTTGTTTTGATCCATCTTGTTGCAAAATAAAATTCCTTGAATAATTTCTCGAAACAAATTTTCATTAATTTTTGGGTGAAGATAAAAAGCAAAACAAAACTAACGCTGCTCAAGGCAATTACCCTCTAACTGTATTAACGGCACTTTCTATCGGAGGGGTTTTGAAAACCATGCAGTCCCTTTGAGCGAAGTTGGGTAGCTTTGCAAGGCGGTCTGCTACTAGGTTGCGTTCCCTGAAGTAGTGCTTCACTGAAACCATCCAATCTTTTCTCAGTATCTCCTGGATTCGGATTAAAAAGTAGGGATAGGCATTTAACCCGAACCCGAAGGGTTCCGACCCGATCAGGTCGGATTTTTTAAAAAAAAAATCTGATTCGGACCTGGTCGGGTTTTTTTAAATATATATATACACCCGGCCCGATTCCCGACCCAATACCCGACCCAATACCCGGCCCAATACCCGTTTAAATAACCGTTTATGCTAAACGGAGATACCCGTTTCCCCGCAGTTTTCTCCGATTACCCGACGGGGATCTCCGTTTAAATCCCCGCGGTTTTTTAAACGGGGACGGATATCGGTTTTTTAAACGGGGACGGGGACGGGGACCAATACCCGGCCCGAACCCGGCCCGTTGCCATCCCTACTTCTACTGTACTCCATCATTGTTTTTTCGAACCAGATTTTTTTTTTTGCGTTTCGGTTTCGCCATATCAACCATAAAATTGATCCAAATAAAATGTCCCAGTTCTCTGCATCTTTTGCGAAATATTCCGGCTTATCTTGGGTTGATTTGCACGGAGTCTTTACTTCAATTGCCCTGAACTCTTCCAAGTGCTCGGACTTAACCAAGCTAAAATTTCACGATCTGATTTAAATCTTAGAAAGGATTCTTTTAATAGTTTCATAGAACCTTCTTAAAGCTTTAAATCTATGAACTCAAAACAAAGCTTTAATCCACAATAGATTCAAAGCCATGAACTTTAAACAAAGTTGGAGATTGATTAAAAAGTATAAAATTGAGCTCGACTTGATTTGAAAATTCATAAGCTCAAACTTGAAATAAAAAATTAAAACTCGATTTAACTAAGTTCACATGCTTAAATTTTTTAAATACGATTCAAAATCAAATTTTTAAAACTCGATCAAAATTAAAAATTTAAATTTCACTCGAACTTGAAAATATTTAGACTTAACTTAATTGAAACTCAAACTCGAACATGAATCTTAAATACATGAAAATCTTATATTATATATATTTTAAAAAGAACAACATATAAATATTAATATTATTAATAATTTAATTTTAAAATTTTAATATATTATTTTTTTCGACTTGCTCCCAACCATTTCGAGTCAGGTATCAAATAATTCACTTCGACTCATTAAGAATTTGAATCTAATTCGAGGTTAAATTGAGTTCATTCGATTCGAGAGTTAACTTGACTTTGACTAAATCGACCTTAAGTAATTCACGATCTGTCTCTTCTCATTTACAACCTTAGTTAGAGTACTTCATTTATAATCTTGTATGAGTTCACATAAATTTATATAATATTTTTCTTTTTTTAGATGTAACATTTTTATATTTTATAATAAATGCAAAACAATATTATTTAAACTATTGAATGTATTTAAATATATTAACTATTTTGATAATTAGTATATTATAACAATAAAAAGCTTCAAACCAACTCTAATGAAAACAATTATGGAATTTGAACCTTTTTTTTAAATTTTTTTAGAACTAAATGAATGAAAATATCTAAATGTTAATTATTCTTATTTATAGTGATAAGTAATAGTTTTATATTATTATTATTATTATTACTACTTTTGATTAATATATGATGATTACAAGATAACATATGCTCTAAATGTTCTCAATTATTTGACAATGAAAACTTAAATATCCATACAGTCTCTGATGCTCAAACATGGGTATCTTAGGACAACAATCATCCCTTAAATTATATTTTAGTGATATCTACTAATACTATCATATGATGTTTCAAGCACTGACTCGACAACAAAATATAAACATAGACTCGATCTATAAAATACACTTCAAACAATTGATATCAACTTTTATCATATCACAATCAAAATATTAATACCCAACTAAAAAGGCTACTAATTTTTTAATGAAAAAAGGATAATTTAGAACATATAAATAATCGGATGATTATTTTATAATTTCAATAACTATAGGACTCAACAAAACAACATCCTATTTAATAATTTTTAATAATAAAAAAACTTAATAAAATAATTTCTTAGAATCGAACAATATTGTATTCTTAACTTTTTTTTTTTTTATAAAGAGAAAAGCCAAATAAAGAAAAGACAAAAACGGCAGTGTAGTTAGAGGCAAAATACCTTTCTTAAATCTCACCGCCAAGGAAAAACACTAATCTTAGCGTGCAATCAACGTCATCCAAAAATATACCTCATACGTGGCTTCATATCAATCGTCTATTTCCTACTTTTCTTTATTAAGTCGACAATCTTACCTTATAAATAAATCGTCTCTTTGCTATCCATTTTCACACCAAAAATAAAATCAAAATCTCCAAGTTTATTCTCTCCTAATATTTTTTCGTCAAAGTTCTCGATTCCAACTATCTTTCTCTCGATCGAAAGGTACTTGTTTTATTGTTTTCATTTATTTTTCCGGTTCTTGATTTCTTTTTGTTGTTGAACTTTGGTAGATTTTTGTTCGGATAATTTACGGTTTTGATTGCGTTGATTTGTTCTATTTCTTTAGCATCTACTATTTGTAAAAATTAATCTTTCTTCGAATTCAAAATCAAGGGTTCACTTTGTTTTGGTTCCCTAATCGATTGTTAATTTTTGGGTTTCATCGTTTATTCTGGTCTATCTTCAGGATCTAATCATAATTGAATTTGATATATCCATTTTGATTGTAATTTTTCTTATATTACTGATCGTTTGATCTTAATATGATCGGTTGGATCTTAGTTGGGTGATTGCCCCAATTTGAATGTTATTGTTTCTGTTTTATTTGTAGATTGAATGAAAAGGAAACAATAGTTTTAGTCTTGATTTTTGATTGCTTTGTTAGTTATTTCATTAAATTATGATGTGTATATGCACACATGTTAAGATGTTATACTATTGTTAACTTTTAGATGTAGATATGATATATGCCAAATTTAATCTTGGGAACTTTTGCGTTGCTTTTAGCTATCTGTTTTTATTTGCGGGTAAAGGTTGTAATTTTCTTCAAGCTAATGATTTTGTAAGTTGTAAAGTAACTCTGAATTTCTTGTTGACATTACAGATGCAGATCTTTGTGAAAACTCTTACTGGTAAGACAATCACCCTCGAGGTTGAAAGCTCGGACACAATTGATAATGTCAAGGCCAAGATCCAGGATAAGGAAGGGATCCCTCCTGACCAACAGAGGCTTATCTTTGCTGGCAAACAACTCGAGGATGGCCGTACACTTGCTGATTACAACATCCAAAAGGAGTCTACCCTCCATCTTGTCCTTCGGCTCAGGGGTGGCATGCAGATTTTTGTAAAAACCCTTACTGGCAAGACAATCACCCTTGAGGTGGAAAGCTCCGATACTATCGATAATGTCAAGGCCAAGATCCAAGACAAGGAGGGCATACCACCTGACCAGCAGAGGCTTATCTTTGCCGGCAAACAACTCGAGGATGGCCGCACTCTTGCTGACTACAACATCCAGAAAGAGTCAACCCTGCACCTTGTTCTTCGTCTCAGGGGTGGCATGCAGATCTTTGTAAAGACTCTTACTGGCAAGACCATCACCCTCGAGGTGGAGAGCTCTGACACTATTGACAATGTCAAGGCCAAGATCCAAGACAAGGAGGGCATCCCACCAGACCAGCAGAGGCTTATCTTTGCCGGCAAGCAACTTGAGGATGGCCGCACTCTTGCTGACTACAATATCCAGAAAGAGTCAACCCTGCACCTTGTCCTTCGTCTCAGGGGTGGCATGCAGATCTTTGTGAAGACTCTTACTGGCAAGACCATCACCCTCGAGGTGGAGAGCTCTGACACTATTGACAATGTCAAGGCCAAGATCCAGGATAAGGAGGGCATTCCACCAGATCAGCAGAGGCTAATCTTTGCGGGTAAACAACTTGAGGATGGCAGAACCCTTGCTGACTACAACATCCAGAAAGAATCAACCCTCCACCTTGTCCTTCGTCTTAGGGGTGGCATGCAGATCTTTGTAAAAACCCTCACTGGAAAAACCATCACTTTGGAGGTGGAGAGTTCTGATACTACTGACAATGTCAAGGCCAAGATCCAAGACAAGGAGGGCATCCCACCTGATCAACAGAGGCTTATTTTTGCTGGAAAGCAGTTGGAGGATGGGAGGACACTTGCTGATTATAATATTCAGAAAGAGTCAACCCTCCACTTGGTCCTTCGTCTGCGTGGTGGAATGCAGATTTTTGTGAAAACTTTGACCGGTAAGACCATTACATTGGAGGTGGAGAGCTCTGACACAATTGACAATGTCAAGGCCAAGATCCAGGATAAGGAGGGCATACCACCTGACCAGCAGAGGTTGATTTTTGCTGGAAAGCAGCTTGAGGATGGGAGGACTCTTGCCGATTATAACATTCAAAAGGAGTCAACTCTGCACTTGGTTTTGCGCCTTAGAGGAGGGATGCAGATATTTGTCAAGACCCTGACTGGTAAAACAATCACCCTTGAGGTTGAAAGCTCAGACACGATTGACAATGTGAAAGCAAAGATTCAGGACAAGGAGGGAATTCCCCCGGATCAGCAGAGGTTGATCTTTGCTGGGAAGCAGTTGGAGGATGGTCGAACTTTAGCTGATTACAACATCCAGAAGGAGTCCACCCTGCATCTTGTCCTTCGCCTCCGTGGTGGCTACTGATTTGGGTTCTATCACTAAACTGCGTTTGGTGTCTACTTAATATAATTTGCTTTTGATGAACTTTTATGTATTGCCGTTAGAAATGGCAATATCTTGTATTAGTTCTTTTAAGATCTTGTGTTTCGCTTAAACATAACGGTGGCTTGTGGTGTTTGAAGTGGTTAGATAAACCACATCTCAGTTACCATATTAAATAAAGTTTGGTATTGCTATATATTTACCGTCTTCAATCATTCATCATCTAGATTCTTGCAACTATATACATTTGAATACTCACTTTCGTGTAATTTGTGTTTGGAGTTCAACATATATATTCCTAGACAAGTTGGAATGGGCAAAATTGACCCAACTTCATAAGATTATAATTTTAAAGTTGAATTCAGAGCTGGTTAGAATTTCTAGTAAGTTCGAATTCAGATCAAAGGAGGTTGGAATTGTTTGAATCCGTGTTTATCTCAATACAATTATGAAAATATCATCCTATATATAATGGTTAGATCATCTAAATTTATTTGCATTATTTCCTGTAATCGCTGCTTTCTTATTCTTCAATTTTCTCTTTATTTCACCAATCATCTCTTCAATCATATTTGCATTTTTATTTTTATTTCTTTTTGGTTTGGTTTAGATTATTGAGTTCATTGATGATGGATGGTTTAGATTTTTTTTCAGTTACTGTTTTTTTGGTTTGCTTTAGTTTACCGCTGCGGTGCATGGCTGGATGGTATGCGTGTGTTTCTGGATTCGCTATAGTTCATGGACCTTGTCCGTCCTACTTTGGAACCTATGGAATTGTCGAAACTTCTTCACCCATGAGAGGGCCGTTTTTTACCGGGCTGGCATCTCATTCTTAACGGACGTGCGCTGCAGTCCGCCTATACTGTTGCTTCTACTGATGCTCTTGTGGGTCCCAGAACCTCCACATTGAATTTGTGGCTGAAGCCTGCGCAGGATGTACTCAAGATTAACGTTGATGGAGCACTATCCCGGGAGATCGGTGTGGTTCCATTCAGCCGTGTGTACAGCAAGCGAGGTTGAAGTGATTGCTCTTACACATGGAATTCGTATGGCTATCGATCTCATTTCGTCTACTGCCATTATAGAGAGCGGTGCGGCGAATGTTGTCACACAACTCCTATTGCATGATCTCGATGTATCCGTGATCAGTTTCCAACTAGAGGAGGCTCATCATTTACTGTATTTGCATCCACATATCAAAGTCTCTTATGTTCGACGGACAGCCAACAAGGCCCCGCATTCCTTAGTCGTCATGGGCGCTATCCTCTAGTTCTGCTTTGCATTTTTCTTCTAATTGCACCGCTAGTATTTGACAAACTATTGTGGATGATGGCATATTTGGCTAATGATATACTAATTAGTAATTGTTGGTAAAATAGACTGCTGCAAAACGAGGCATTAGCATTGACTGGAAAATATATACTGAAATATATAAAGAACTGATTAACCGTGTCGTGGTATTAACCACTGCCTTAAAAACGAATTCGCCCCGATGTGTGTAATCGCTCCAATAGGCGGATCGTCTCCTGAGGTTAATATAGTCGCTCCAAATTTCGTACACCCGAAACTGGAGTGGACTGCTGGTGGTATTTGTACTTCTGATCGGAAAGCACAAAGAGAACAACTTTAGAAAACATTTAGAGAGTGAATTCTAATTGTAGAGAGTGTGAGTTGAGAAGCTGAATTCAACTCTCTATTTATAGGCTATAAGTAAGGGTAAATCTGTCCAACAAGAAAATCAAATTAAATTTGATTTTAATTCTGAATTTAAATCCTTTTTGTAACTCCTCTCGATGAATCTAGCTAAAAAAGAGTCAAGGTTCATTGCATAAAAACAATTATAACTCCTGAAATTAAATCAGATAACTCCTGTAACTCCTGTTATTAACAGCTTGTCTCTCCCATGAACAAAGCTGGAAATCAGTCTAGATACATCTTAAGTTCTGATTTAATTTAGTAAAGTAACTGTGTCAGTAGCCTATAAATATCATATGAATCTTTCACATTTTTCATTTAATCTTTCAGTGAAAAATTCCTTACGATTTTCTCTAAAAATATAGTATCCGTGCGGACGTGTCAAATACACGTATTACCACGCCTTGTTCTCTATCACTCAACAAGAGAATGAAGAATGTGAACCTTAAATATCATTCCCACTAGTATTTCCAACTCTATGTGGGATTGAGTATTACCAACATTCCCCCACTAATGCTAAAGAATTCTCCTGAAACTCAAAAACAATCTTTCCAGAAGAGCAATAGCGATATTAGTTGCTTAAGCATTAGTGAACATATCTGGAACTAGTATATAGTGATGGTGAGCAATCCTTCTCTTATATAAGTGAAACTAGTCTTGAACTTTCTAAGATGGGGGTAAACTCATAACACACAACTAACCCCTTCATCCACCTGAGTCTTCGATGTGTAAGATATATATATATATATATATATATATATACACACACACAAAAGTATATATTTGGCCATCTTACCTCAGGATTCTAGTAAGTGTGCTAGAAAAATGACCTACATTTTTCATAGGCGGCTAACCCTTCTCACCTACATAGGTTATTTCATCAAGTTTATCTCGACATAAACCACCCTTAACAGGGATATGAAATAATTAAGAGCTTTTATAATAGCTCAGCCTCATAAATTGTATGGTAACTTTCTTCAAGTTCATTATTAATGAACCACTCAAACTCTGGGATAAGAAGTCATTAAGAATAAATATTCAACCTCATTAATCGGTAAATTCAATAAGTCATTCTCACTAGAACCATCCAAATTCTTGGATTTGAATTTATTAAGAGTTTAACAAACTCAACCTTTTGTCGGTAAATTCATTATTTCCTTCTCATTTAGGATTACCCACTCATTCTGGTTATGAACTTATTAAGAATAGATATTCAGCCAAAATCGTTAAATTCATCAATTCTTTCTCACTAAGACCACCCAAAGCCTGGGCTATGAATTTATTAAGAGCAATTAAGCTCATCCTGGGCATGCACATTATTCATCATAGGGATAGGTAGTAAGAATGTGTACTGTGAGTATTTCCATGGTTTCGTTTGACCACATGAAACTTAGATAACTAAGTTAGGTATCCACAATGAATTCCTCAACCAATAGGCTTTAGGCCCGTCCCCCTCGACGAATCTAGGACCAAGGATCTGCTAGGTTCATTTTCGACTTCACATACTCTAAAGAGAGCACTCCATTCTTTATTAAGTGTCTAACTGATTCATGTCTTATGCGAATGTGTCTTTTCTTACCATTGTACACATATTGCAGCTTGCGAATCACACAACAAAGAAATCGGAGGAGTCGATCTTCCCTACAACGGAATATCTGCTAACAAGCTTTTAAGCCACTCGTCTTCTTGCCTTGCTAGGTCAAGAGCTATAAACTCTGAATCCATGGTAGAACGAGTAATACAAGCCAGTTTTGATGATTTCCACGAGATTGCTGCTCCACTTAAAGTAAAAACATACCCGCTCGTAGAGCTTACCTCATCATTATCAGAAACCCAGTTGGCATCACAATATCCTTCTAGTTCCACAGGATAACCAACAAACTCAAGTTTCCAATCCAAAGTACCCTTAAGATACTTCAGTAAGCGTCTAAGAGCAATCCATTATTCACCACTCGAGTTATGAATATATATACTTAGTCTACTCACAGCATAAGCAATATCAGGCCGAGTATAGTTCATTAAGAACATTAAGCTTCCAATTAATTTAGCATATTTTGTTTGGGAAACGTTACTTCCTTTATTCTTAAAGAGATATATGTTAGGGTCACAAGCGTTCGAACATGGATGACATCAAAACTGTCAAATTTCTTTAACACTTTCTCATGATAGTGTGCTTGTATTAAAGAAAAACCTTTTTCAATTTTGGTAATTTTGACTCCAAAGATTACATTGACTTCTCCCATATCCACCATCTCAAATTTAGTGGACAAGAAATCATTTTTTTTGTTAATGGACTCAATGTTAGAACTGAAAATCAACATGTCATCAACATACAAAACTTATGATGACGCAATCAATACCAAAAATCCTCGAATACACGCAAGCATCCGAACCATTCAATACAAAACCAAAACTAAGTATAGTTTTATGAAATTTCTTGTACTATTATTCCCATATAGATCTCTTGATCTAGATCTCCATTCAAAAATGCAGTCTTAGCATCCATTTGATGTATTTGCAACTTATGAATAGAGGCTAGTGCAAATAATGCACGGATCGTTGAGATGTTCATAACGGGAGAGTAAGAATCAAAGCAGTCTAAAACAAACTTTTGAGTGAACCCTTTAACAACTAGCCTTGCCTTCTACCACTGGATCAAACCATCTGATCTCATTTTCTTCCGAAAGATTCATTTGCTACATATCGGTTTAAATCCTCTAGGCAAGTCAACTAATCCCCAAGTATGATTAGACATTATCGATTCTAGTTCATCATTAATAGCGCTTTTCTAGAAACTAGCATCGATATATCTTATAGCTTTTTTAGGATCCTCATATAATATTTAAGCTATATGATCAGAAAGAGAGTCTAAATCACTTATCTCAGATATAAAGGAAGTGATAAAATTTGGTCCAAATAGCCTTTTACTTCTTCTAGGCTTGAAATCAATTTCTTGAGAAGACCTAGCAGGAATACTAGAAGAAGTGGATATAATATTTTCTATTTGAGTTTATGCATTTAATCTACATTTTAAGACACCCCCACATTTCTAACATTTTAGGATATCCATAAGTTTCTTGAACAACGTGTAAACAAATACTCAATCATACTAGAGTAAAGTTTGTTATGAGTTTTAGCCATAAAACTATATTTTAACAAACTCAAGTTTTGTTTACACATAATTATATTCTCAAAGTTTTGAGAAATTACAAATCATTAAAATTAAAATGTATAAACCAATTCTTTATGACTTTTCCTCATTCAAAATGAATTTTGAATTTTTCCTAACATCATGAAAAATGATATCAAGTTTAAAACAAGAGATTTTAGCACAAATTCTGAAATAG